ATCAGAGAGAAATTTTAATTCAAGTTATTAATTTATTTGAAAGTTAGGATTGGATTCCTGAAGGTTAAAGACTTATTATTTTGAGTCTGTCCTAGATCCTAAGACTAATTTGGGCATTAAATGATTGTGGCCCAAACCTAGCTATTATAATATAAATCTGAACAAACCCCAACCTAGATTAGGGAGCTAGCTTACCCCTTAGGCGCTTTAAAACCATATATCTGGTCTTTTATAAAAGATAGGTATGGAAATTTTTATTTAAGTTTTTAAAAATTAGGGATGATGTTTAAAACATATTATAATTAGCCTCTTGACTTATGTAGGGTGATTATGCCTCAAAATAAATATAATTAAAATTTTATTGATAATTTTAATTTATTTCTAATGCAATGCATGCTAGTAGATTTTGAATGCATGAATCAGTATGAAGCAGTTTTATAATCAGGCTTAAAAATTTCTTTTTTCCTAGAGATTGCATAACATCCCCTAGATAGAACTGCAAGCTAATAGGCAATCTGATCTGCCAAAACCCATAGTGAGGAGGTGCCTAATAATGAAGTTAAGTTTTAATATGATGCATGTGAACTCTAGACGATCCCAAGCTTACTTTTTAAACCATTAGAATTTTCATGTGAGACTAAAAATTTTATTTAGTTTGAGTTGAAATAGTTTTAAATGTACCCTCACAAGCCTCCATGCATTTCCAAGCTAAAATAAAACGACATGCAAGAAAGAAATATAAAAAATAGGCAATTTCTACTGCACAAATAATGTAAATAATGCAACAACATCATTAAATTAAATATAAAGTCCATGTGGCAAGGGCCACTTAATTTATTACCAAAGGTCTACAAAAATTAAAAGTGGTTGGGTATCAATGACAATAACCTCGATTATAATCCTATAAATGATGCAAGTGACTTTGAGAATGGTATAAATGTTGGTGAGGCATTTGGCGAGAATTGCTTCTGACCACAGTCCAATTTTATTAAACTTGTTGGAGTTTAAACCTCCCAATAAGAAGTTGATCAGATTTGAAGAAGTTTGGACGTCCATTCCAGCATCTATGATAGTGGTAAGGGAGTCATGGAATAAAAAATCTTGTGGGGATCCCTCAAGATCTTAATAAAAAAATGAAGAGGACCTTAAAGGATTTGTATTATTGGAGCAAGGCTAAGTTCAAGGCATTAAATAGTTCTAAAGAGGTGCTGAAAGATGATATTCTAAAATTGCAAGAAAGGAGGCAGAGGTCGGGTTTCTATCAGAGGAAGATCAATGGATCCCGAAGTCAAAAATTGATGAGTTGAATTCTTCATTGGCACCGATCAGCACTTGGTGGAAATAGCGAGCCAAGGTTAAATGACTTGTTGAGGGAGATTCAAATTCAAGATTCTTCCAAGCATATGCTAGTGCTAGGAGGAATACAAACTATATCCACAAAATTAAAGATGAAAATAGTTTCATGGTTGAAGATCAAAAGGAAGTTGAAGAAATATTATTTCGTTACTTCAAAAATAAATGGAAATATAGGAGATGCTCTTTGGAGGGGTGGCCAATACTAGTGAAAGCTTTGAATGAGGAGGACAAAAAGATACTGAGTAAGGAGTTTTCTTTTGAAATATTAGAGAAGGTAACCAAGGATCTCGGTGGGAACATTACTCCAGGACAAGATGGTACGCCTTATACTTTTTTTAAATATTATTTGCACATCATCAAGCATGATTTGTGGAATGCTATGGAACATTTTTTCACGAATGGGAGGATGAATGATAGTTGGAAAGATACTATTATAGTATTGATTCCTAAAGTCAAAAATCCGTCGTCTCCATCCAATTTTAGACCCATAAGCCTATGCAATTCGGTGTATAAGATTGTTGCTAAAATGCTTTTAAATAGAATGTTGCTTGTTATCCCTAAGCTAATTTTGAAAGAACAAGTAGTTTTTTTGAGGGGAAGGTCACTTTCTGATCATGTTTTGGTAGCTCAAGAAATTTTCCATAAGTTTAGGCATTCTAAGAGAAAGCATACGATTCTATGGGATGGACTACATTGGTTACAATTAAGGAGTATTTCGAATTTCCTGTCAACTTTGCTAATCTAATTGTTGAATGTGTTCTTAGTCCAAAACTTTCAATGTTAATAAATGGGTTCTTATCCAGTTGGATCGAAGCTAAGTGCAGATTTCGTCAAGGGTGCCTGTTATCTCCCTTCTTTTTTATTATGTGTGCTCAACTTCTCTCAAATGCTTTCTCACAAAAAGCTATTTCTGTTGGAATTGGTATTTCTCCCAAAGGGCCTAACGTTTTTCATTTACTTTATGCTGATGATATTATCATATTCTATGAAGCAATGATTAAGTCGGTTAAGGAAGTCAAATGCATTCTTATGGCCCTATTCCAAATGAAGATTCACCTACTAAGGGAGGCTCGGTCACTTGGAAATTACTTTGTAATGGAGGTGAGTTTCTCAGGCCAATTGTCAGGTGGACAATTGGTGATGGAAGATCAATTCAAGCATATAAAGGCATTTGGTTATTGAACAAACGTATTGAAAAATGGCCCACATTTGTCAATCCAATGGGAGGCTGCTTTCTTACAGTTGATAAGTTTATTAACAATGGAAATTGGAATGTCAGAGAACTTCAAAATCACTTTGGCAGAGAGCTTATAAACTGATCACTTCAATACAGATCTCGTCAGATAGAGAAGAGGATAAGCTAGAACTCATACATAATTTTTTTGGAAGGACGATTGTAGCTCTAGCATCCAAAGCAATGGAATCTGATAATACAGACCACGTAGTTTGGAGATGGGCTGGAAAGGCAAAGCTAAATCCTAGAGTGGAATTCTTCTGGTGGAGGTTACTTAATAAAGCTATTCCAACAAATTAGTTTTTGTGTTACAAATGGTTACAGGCAGAGGCGGATTGAGGGGGGGGCCTAGGGGGGCACGTGCCCCCCCTCTCCCTCCAAGCTGAGTGCTGAGGCCATTTGCAAGGAAGAGAAAGAATGCTCTATGCAAATGAAGAAGCTAATGCCTAAGCTTAAGATGCTTCGATCCCATTAGGAAATTGCTGATCTACTTACCCTGAACTCATCACGTGGATGCATGGCCTCTTTACTTGCATTGAAAAGGCTTTAAGTTAGTGTTGTTTAGCCCATTAGGATAGCATCTGATGCTTTCTGGTCAATGAAGTCCTGACATTATTTTGTCAAATGGGTGTCAGTTGACTGTATTGTTTGCCTAGCTAATTGCTTTAAATCTAGTATCTTTTTATTCAAGCTTAGAACAATTGTAGCTTATTTTTGGTGGGTACATGAAGCTGCTGCTATTTAGAGACTGCTAACTCTGATGACTCTATTGTAATCAATTTCCAAGGTGTGTACGTTGGTAAGTAAACTTAAATTCAACATTGCACACGGTTATAGCATCATAATCATTTGAGTTGTACGGCCACAAGAATGACGAAGAGAAAAATCATAAAAGAAACTGAGTAGTAATAGAATCATCAAAAGATCTGGAAGTAGGTTTAAAAAACTTTCTATCTGATTCAGGTTAGCGAAATCCTATCAATGAATTTAATTATTTCTAATATTCAATATCAAATTTGAAGGTCATACTTGCAAAGAGGTCCATATTTTCCACACAATCATGGATTTCTTAAAAAAAAAAAAAAAATTGGGCCCCCCCTATAAGAAGTTTCTGGCTCCGCCACTGGTTACAGGGATATGATAAATGTCCTATATGCTGTGAAGTGGAGGGAAACATTGATCATATAGTCTTTGGATGCAGTAAATTAATTGAGGCGGTGGAGATCTTAAATAGATGGGGTTTCAATTTTCCCATATTCTGTTCTCTTGTTGATTGCTATAGTTACCCGGATACTCAAAGCCAATGGGTGGTGAATCTGTTTTGTAACACAGTCTACTTATCTTGGAAAGCAAGGAATTTATTCGTTCATGAAGGAAAAATATCCAGCCCTATGATGATTGCATCAAATGATGTAAGTATTTCTGCAGTTTACAAGTATTCCTGCTGTTTAAATTCAGGTATCGGGGATGTTAATCAGCATTTGAGGTTGTTGAATATTTGGCATCCTCCTTCACCTGATTGGATTAGAGTTAATATAGATGCAACCATATTTAACTCCTACAAGGCTGGAATTGGAGGAATTTTTAGAGACTACCAAGGGATATTCTTATTGGCTTTCGGCAATGCTTATGTCCACTGGGATTCGGCTACTTTGGAACCTCAGGCTATTCTTTGGAAAGCAAGTGGTGAAGGATTGGATGTTCGATTACAAAGGATTAATCATTGAAGGAGATAACAAGAATGTAATTAAATACACCACGGAAATGGTGGAGAAAGGTGGAAATGAGTTGAGAGATCTTTCTTTTATTAAAGATTTTCATTTTGCTATCTTTAATTGTGTTGATAGGGAGAATAACAAGTTAGCAGATCTTTGTGCTGACTATGCTTGTTTTAGTTCTTTCCACTAGGTTGAAGTAGATATGAATAAGATCCCTCCTTCCTTCATCAATTTATTGAAGAAGGAGTCGAATGCTATTAGGATGTAAAGCTATTTTTTAGTTTCATAATAAAGCTCTATTGCTTTGTTGGCTTAAAAAAAAGTGCCAATACTACTTTCATGTGGAGAATATGCATCATGTCTTTCTTTTAGGCCCTTTAGCTGTTAAAACTTAGGTTTATTTTGATGATATTTTTATATTAAATTATTTTAATGCTAATTTGTCTATTAATGCTTTGCTTAATTCTTAGCTTATTAAGTCTAAAGGTTACATTCGTAATGTTATCCCCTCCCTCATTTTGAAATATTTATGGTTGGATAAAAATAATTCTCTTTTTAGTGGTATTAGTTTGGATCATCATAGGATTATTAAGAATGTGAAAGATATGGTTATGAGGCTTTTTTCTATCAATCTTCTCTCATATAAGAACTTTAAGAATTATTACTTTGTGGCCTCCGATTTAGGTATCATGATGGAGGCTGAGCATTTATCTACTGAGCCTAGGATTGTTTACATGATAAAACCTCCTAATAATTCCTATAAGCTTAATGTTGATGGTGAGGTCAAGGTTTCTAGTTCGGGTTGTGGTGGCCTTATTAGGGATGGTTACGGGAATAATATCATGGCTTTTGTAGGTCTCGTACATTATTGCTCGGTGAATTTTGCTGAGCTTTCCGCTATTTTGCATGGGATAAAATTATGTGTTTCTCTTGGCATCTCTAATATCTCGATTGAAGTTGATTCTACTTTCAATATTCATTGTTTAAGTAACGTGGATGATATTATGTGCAACCAGGATCTTTTTTATCTTGTTAGGGACATTAAACAGTTACTGATTTTTGTTAATTACTCCCTTTCTCATGTGTATAGGGAGGGGAATGCTTATGCTAATTAGCTTGCCAATTTGGGGTGTAACCTAGATTATTTTACAAATTTCACTGCTTCTAACCTTCTGATTCTTTTAAAAGACCTCTTAAGATCAGACAAAATTAGTTTTCCCTATGTTAAAAGTTAGTTGTAGCTTTTGTTTGCTTATTTTGGAAGTTACCTACTCGTACTGTGGGATTCTTCTATTTTATATTTTTCCTGTTTCTGTTTGCTGCCAGTAGGGTTTCCCAGTGCTATTTATGTAGTCCCAGGTTTTTGGGTGTTCGTGTGGTTTTTTCTGGGCAAGTTTCCTCTTTCCTGTGGTTGGGCTATTTTGGGTCTGTTATTTTATGGCCTTATTTCACTGAGTTATTGGATGTTGGTATGATTTTTTGTGGGCTATTTATCTGCTATCTCTGGTTGAGTTTGAGTGGGGTTGTGCTGCTGGTTGTTCTTTGGACCTACTCTGCTTTGATTTGTTCTTGTGGGCTGATTGCCTCTTTCTTGAGGCTGGACTTTGTTGAGGATGTGCTGGAGGTTATTTTTTTGCCCTATTTTGCTAGGTTGTTGGGTGGTGGTTTGGCTCCCTTTGGGCTATTTTTATGTAATTTTTGGCTAGGCATGTGGGCTGTTCTAATGTTTATTCTTTGGAACTTTTTTGGTTTGCCTTTATCTGACTCTAGTTGGTTGGGTTTCTTGAGTGGTGTTATTTGGTTCTGGTGGGGGTTGGTTTTCTCCATTTACTGTCTTTTCTTTGCCATGGTTCCTATTCTTGCTGGGATTAAGCTGGAGTGGCATTTCTTTTATATACATCTTATTGCCTTTTTGGCTTTTTCCCTCTCTTTGGGTGCCCTTTCTTATGCACCGTAGATTGTACTTAGGTTAGGGTGTAATTTTGCATAGCAGGGAACTCGAGCTCCTAGGATTTTTTGTTTTCTTTTTGTAGCTCTTTTGAACATTACTAAGCTTGAGATCCCTTTAAAGACATTGTACTTAATTTCTTATATTAATGCGTAGGCCTGTCAGTGGGTTTACCCTTAAAAAAAGAAAATTAACATTTACATTAAAAAAAGAAATTTAAAATTACATTAAAAATAATAAAATTTGGAAAAATATAAATTAAATTGCATTTCATTAATAAATTATTCATCAATAAACTAAAAATAAAAGCCCTCTTTAATTTTTCCTTAAACTCATAATTTGGTCATTTGAACATTATTAAAGGAATAAATTAAATAAATAATCAAAAAATAAACTTAACTAAGAATGTTTTAAAATTTTAAGAGATTTTATCTTAGGTCATCATTTACCTAAGTTTAAAATTTCATGAAAGTTTGAGGTCATTTGGTACCTTACTTAGCAATCCATATGTTCCCTTTTTATATAAAACTTCTACAATAAACTTAATTTATAAAATTCATAAATAATTCATAAGAACTCATAAAAATATAAACTCAATTACATTTCGTTTTAAATAAATCTAAGAATATGATAAAAATTAAAAAACAAATTAAAATCCAAATCTTAAAGCCAAAGTCAATCTTTAATTAAACCCAAACTTAAAGGGTAGAGTAAATATATGAAACTTTTAAGGATTAATAAAGAAAAATAATAATCAAATTATGTTATCAATCCAAATTGAAATTCAAACTCATTAAAATAAACTCTAAAATTTAAACATTAACATTAATGATAAATAAAAGCCCTCCAATGTTCCTAAAAAGGCAATAAGATGTATATAAAAAAGATAATGTCATAGCCATATGTAATTGCTCTATCCCTCTTAGGATATAACATTTAAAATTCCTTGAGACTTATGATATCTTGATAAGTGAACATATTGAACTAAAAGTTCATTTATTAACTTTAAAAATAAAATAAAAATTGAAAATTTTAAACAATAAAACGTATAATAAATTCACAATTCCTTAAAACTTATACTCTGAATAAAACGCTTTGACCGGTAACATGTTTAAAAAGTAGAAATATAACCTTAAACCCTAGTAGGAAACATCAAGGACATCATGAAGCATGCTAGAGTATAAAGGTTTTAGTGTCATGAAGTTACCCATCAACTATAAACTTACTATAAAAATGCAAAGATCAAAGTTAGTGAAGCATATATAGTAGCACTTCATGGAATCACTATTGAGAAAGAGGGAGATTGTTGACTTAAAATGGGTCTTGTGATTCACTTAGTATGACTTGGCCATTCAAGTGTTGAGGGTATGTTTTTTTAAATTTTGGTGGCCTTTTTCACCTATTTTCAAAATGAAGGCATTCATAACTGATATACTTATTGGTCTTTCATTGAGGAACATCAATAGTTTCATAATACAAAGAATATGAGGACATTAAGGAGTTGAAGTGATTATTGATGTGGTGTATTCGTCACCTTTGTAAAGTGGCCAACTTATATGCAAAAGCTTGAATAGCTGATTAGTAAACTCATTTAACTACATCACATATCATGTGTGCAAGGCATTCTTCAATTTTTTGTAGCTAATTAAAGTTAATGAATTTGTCACCATACTCAGCTTGGAGGGAGCAATTTTGGCCTTGGTTGCTTGAGAGTTCTAGTTTTCAATTCATAACATTGTTATGGTCACTACATCATATAGAATGCTGGATTAAAAATTAATTAAATGAAGTCTACCTGAGCCTTACTCGAGAATCAAGAGACATGATGTTTGATTAGACCAATTTTATATGTTGTTAATGAAGTTTATCCTAACGAGGTTCGTCAGATGTAGCCCTTGAGCTCCCTTAGGAAAATCATATAGATAAAAAGAGCCTTAAGAAATAAGGCTATTAAGTGAGATTAAAATTGTTATCTTATTATTCCTTGGGATCACCCATTTATAAGTTTAGATTTAGTCAAAGAAATGTGATAATATTGATTATTATGTTTGACATGAATGAAAATGAATTTATTACATTTATATGTAACTTATTATGAGTATTCACAAGTATTGAATTCTTTGACACGATGTGCTGGGCTGGAATCAACCTGCAGGGATGTGATGCTTAAGTGGGCTGAGTCGTCCATTTAGAATGAGATGACAATCTAGACTAACCTCTTAATTTTCTACCCAATTTTTGCTGTACAAAAGTTTTTAGTACTTATTCTACTGAGAGAGATTTTAGGCTTAACTTTAATCCCCATGAGCATCTTAGTTGATCTAGCCGAAAGAAATTGGG